GACCCGTTGGAGATGGCACATTGTGGCAACATGCCAACATGGTTGTACAGTCGTACAGCTTGGCCGTTTATCCGCCTCGGGTCAGAAAATGCGGTTGAGTAACGCGTTTTCGCAGTCAGGCATTCCAATGCACTGTCGAGATTTGCACGTTGCATGTTGACAGAGCGGAGTGATTGAGGCTGTGATGGTTGTTCTTGACTTAGCCTTAGTGTGGATCAAGCTGTTGTCAGACTGTTTCAGGCAAGGCCAACTTCTGCCTCCCGAATGAACACACGTCTGTGTCGAGAGGCATCAAATCAGCAGATTACAAGGAAGGAGGCAAGCACACGCTCTAAAAGAACAGGTGGCTATGCAGTGCATGTTAGCTACATCGGCAACCTGCTAAGCTCATGTTGGTTAGCCATGAAGGGCAAACCTTCATGGGGCGCGGGCCTTAAATTCAATGCACATGTGCGCCCGCTTGCAGGGGCCTGCTTTGGAAGACTTGAGGCAAGATTCGAATCCCTATTCCAGCTCCGGCAGTCTAAGCCTCAGCTCTTCCATTAGCTTGCAGTACGGACTTGATGTTTGACGGACTGGAACAGACTCCAGGCGCGGCCTGGGGCAAATCTGCCTGGACACAAGCTGAGTGTTGCAAGTGCATTGGGAGTCGAGAGGGCGCAGATGGCACGCGAGCTGCCTGTGCCCAAGGAACCGATGCTGGATGGTTAGTTCTGCCAAGGCCATTCGGGAAAGGACAAGGCGTGGTGTCATGGCACATTTCATGGACCTTCCTAAACCAAGCCTGAACCCGACGTAAAGCCAGCCTAAGCCTAACCTAAACCCCCTGTAACCCACCAAGAGAACCTGGCCCAAACCAACCCGAAAACCCCACCCAAAACGCACCAAACGCCCATGCTTAACCCATCCTATATAAGCCTGGTTTAAACTTCCCCCAACCCACCCTGAACCCCACCCCAGCCTCACCCTAAACCCAGCCTAAACCCTCCCTAGTCCCTACATCCACCACCCTTTGAAATCCACCATAAACCCACTTCAAACAAGCCACGCCTAGCTAGATCCGTCGTCCCAAAATTGCCCTCAGCCCATCGTTCCTAAACCTACTTTGGCCAATCCCACCCTGGAGGCTCCAGTAGTTCTCTAAGTATCAGCCTCAACCTCTCGCTGAGAACCTTCCTGGCTTTCTGCTTTGCGCAGTGGCCCTTGCTTTATCGGTGCTTGGCTTTAACGCAAGCCCTCTTCTCCTCCAGTGTCTGCATTGCACGGATTCTTATTTCTTGGGAGGCAAGGCCGGTGCTCCAAGCCCTGGCCCAGCTTCGCGGCCCACTTGGCTTCAGCAAAGAAACGGGGCGCCTCAGTGAAGCTCAGGAACAAGCGCTTGCCATTGCCTGTGCACGGCGGGAGGCGAGGTTCAAGGCAGAGTCGTGCTGTTAATGCTTATGCCTTGATGAATTGACAGGACGGAGGGGGGCGCACAGCGTGAGGGACCTATTTGTAGAATCAACGTTGCAATGAGGCATTGCTGTCCATCCGATTGCGCACTTCAGGCGCGCTACTTCCCCTTCCCAAGCCACAGCGCAAGCTGAAAGGCAAAGGCGCGGGTCGAGCATCGTGGCGCTGTTTTATTCACTGTGGCCAAGATCAATGTGTGTTCCGAAGACAGGTATTGCGCAATAAACGTCTTCTTGGTTCCATTTGTTCTATTCCTTTTGGGCACCTTTTGGGCCCTGCCAAGTGTGGCCGGGGGAATCCGTCGCAGCACAGATTCCAGCCAACATGCCTTCCACTCTCCTCAGTGGGGGCCCTTAATCATGAGTTAAGCAAGGCGCCAATCGACAGAGATGCCACGTAGCCGCGAGGTTCAAGCCGAGCTTGAGCACGTAGATAAAAAGGCTAGCATGGCTGACATCCTAGTGGACTTGCTGCAAGTCCAGCCTCAGCATAGAGTGCTGGATGTGACCGGCGCTTGCAGCAGGCAACTTGCGGAGGCTATGCACCGCGATGCACTGGCGCCGGTGCCCGGACTACTTGTGGCGAATGCGAAGCCCGAGGAGCTTCCGCAGCTTGTCGCTGCGGTCCCCGAGCGGCTGCGGAGCCCCGTGGTCTTCACGGGCTGCGAGCCGCAGCGCTTCCCTCAGCTGAAGACGACGAGCGGGAGTGGCGGCCGGAGGTGGGCTCCGCCCAGCGGCCGCGAGCCCACAGGCCAGTTCCTCCTGAACTTTGACCGGGTACTTTGTTCATTTAAAGACTGCAGTTGCAGTGACAAGCGGCTCTGGCACCAGCACTCTTTTCTGCTACGTACCTTGCAACGTGGCCTTCTTGCACTTGCTCCCGGCGGGCGTCTCGTGTACGTCACTCACTCAGCTCATGCTGTGATGAACGAGGCTGTCGTGGCGGCAGCTTTGGCCTCGTTGGGACAGCGCAAGATAAGCTTGAGCCCTGTTGGGAAGTCCCAGGTTGCCACCAGCACCAAAGGCATGCAGTCATGGCATGTTCCAACACCTGATGCATCAGCTTGTGACTCTCACTTTTCTTCTTGGGATGCAGTTCCCCGGGCACTGCAGGGAGGGAAGATTTTAAAAACCATGTTTCCGCCAGAGGATGGATGGCTGAAATTGCAGCTGGGCCACTGCTTGCGGCTTCATGGCCAGGACATTTTTGTTGCCGTGTTTGAGAAGCAGGACTCATCTTCTATCAGCCAATTGTGGCGTGAGCCCGGGTCGAATGTTGAAGGGCTGAAGGAAGACAAGGCAGATGCCTTACAGCCGGGTTCCCATGTTATTGTGAAGGTCAGCGGGGCACCAGCGACAGTGGTCGGTCCGGGACAGAAGATGTACCAGGGTTTGATTAAAATAAGATACCCCGACAAAAGCACGTTCCACGTGGAGCGTGCAGACTTACAGTCAATTGAGACGAAGCTCTTGGTCCAACCGAGTGGCAGGCTATATGCCAGGAGAGTCCCGGCAATCACGCTTGTTGCAAGCATTCTAGTTGCATGCTTTGCCTTTGTACGCCGCCCTGGCAGTCAACGCCGCAGGCCTTTCTTATTTTCACTTGTGCTTTTGGCACTTTCTGGCTGGCAAGCGCATGTGCGCCGCCAGGATGTTGCGCAGCGATCACAAAAGACTGCCAGCCCGGCATCTCGCTTAGTGAAGCGCTGTGCCAAACTTCCGTTGCCGGTGCAATCACTCTGCAATTTCTTGGGTTGCCCGGCGACTGCTGCCGGTCTATTTTCTACCTCTCTGGCATATCGCACAGCCGACAAGCAGCAGATGTACGTAGCTTCCGCTGCCTTGCTGGAGTTGCGAGTGCCAGAGCAGCTGCGGCAAAGCCAGTGCGGGATGCCCATTTTTGCCCGATGCATTTCGACACAAGAGCTGCGGCATTGGGGTTGCGAGCTGCGGCCGACCCAGGCATCGCCCTTTCTTGGCTGCCGGCGACAGCTCTGCTTGGAAGGGCATTTGTTTGCGACACTTCTCCAGGACAGCCGCATCAGCCTTGCCTGGGTCGAAGGCGTCGATTTGAACCCCTGCCGCGACCCAGCTGGAAACCTGCAGTTGGGGGCAGTTATCCTTGTGCGATGCGACAGCTCTACTCCGGCATGCTCAGCACTTGTTGGCGTGCTTCAGGCTGCGCATATTGAGATCCACTTGAGTGAGCAGGAGCGCAGAGAAATGATTGAGGACTGCAATGGGCAAGCAAGGGAAAGGTAGAATCATGTAGAATTTGCTCAACGCATAGAGCTTCCACAGTTGCATTTGAACGAGGGGGCCGGCGCGGTACACGAGAAGGCTCTCCTTGGAATGTGGCCTTGCCCGCGCTCCTCGCCCAATTCTGTTTGGGTTGGCCCGTGCGTTGCCTCCATGCGCAAAGGAATGCATGGGAGAGTGCAACTCAGTTCCAGTTCCGTAGCCGCAAGCTCCTATCGCGCGTGACCTGGTGCCGCATGACCACTGCAACCTGAATTGCTTTGAACGTCCGGTTGCCGCTGCGGAACATGTTGGACAAACTGCGGACAGCTGTGCTTTGCTGCCTATCTGCTTGTGCAGGGCCTGCGTTTGCTGCACGTACTCAAGTCAAGCCAGCCTAGATGCACAGACGCAAGTCGCGCAGGCATGTTAGGCTCACTGACGAGGCCGACATAGAATTTCCGGCCATGTGGCCGGTGTGCGGAAGGCAGCTTGGGTCCCGCCTTTGGGCGCGTGCTGCAAGCCTTGGCAGGGGGCTTGCCACAGGCCAGGACGGGGAGATGGCAAATTCTGCATCGAGATGGCAAATTCTGCATCCCGCACCATGCTTTAGCAACTTTCTGCTGCCCCCTATCCCCGTCAGGCTCTGGCGAGATCGAAGTTCTGACCGCAACCGCGGTTTCCGAGGTTTCCAAACTTGGCGGTGCCATTGCCGGCCGCATCCGTAAGGCTGGGCATATCTGGGCATGGGACTGACGGCTGACTTGTGGGCCCATCCAGGGAAGCACCAGCAAACAGAGTGCTGTGCTGATAAAACAAATGCAGGACAGCCGCACTTCAATCCGACCCTTGGCAGGCAAACCAGGCTAGCTGTCATGAGAGGGTGCTCCTTTTCCACCATGTTCCCCGACCTTGCGTCAGGATGTGTCGGTCACCAAGCCGCCTTTCGAAGTGTCAAGGCGGTGGTGAATGCCAGCGAGTACTTAAGCCAGGATGACTCGGCACCCAAGGGCCGCATGCTGGGCATCCAAGTGGCTGAGATGGACGGACCCACGGTTGCAAGACATTTGTCATGTTCTTGCTTATGTTACCTGCCCCCTTTAGCTCTGTGTGAGTGCACGGCGAGGCCGAAGAGAAGGGGGCAACGAGCTGCGATTGCAGATTGGCCCCGTCATGTTGCAAGACTCAGTCGCGGCCTCGGGCGCCTCGGACTCCTCGGGCTCCTCCGGCTCACGGTCCCACGACCTCCTCATCAGCGGCAAGACCGCGCCGGGGAAGGCGGCGGCGGCCATGGCGGCGGCGATGCGGCCCATGGGCGGCGGCCATGGGAGGTGCCCGCTGGTGCGAGCCATTGGCTCCATGGCGGTGCATCGCGCCTTGGTGACGGGCCACCTGGCCCAGAAGTACTTGGACAACGATAGGCGAGGTGTCCGCTTCTGCCTCATACCCTACTTCTCCCGTCACATTGCCACGGAAGATGGCAAAAAACAACTGGTTCTGAGATTGCAGCACTTGCCTTCTGAAGCCAGCGCTCTGAAAGGTAAGGATCCAGCAGGTAAGGCCTTGACCTGAATCAAGCCATGGCTACAAAAAGGGAGCTGGCCAGCAATCGACGTCACCAGCGTATGCGCTGTGCGGCTATCTGCCAGCGCGCAGGACAAGCTTGGCACACCATTTGACTTGTACACGTTGCAGCTGGAGCCTGGAGCGGCTTTGGCCCCTCCAGGGTGTTCCGCTTCAGTGTGTGCTTTCGCAGCTGGCTGGTTGCATGAAGTATGCTCGTTGTTTCACGCTTCCAAGTTCAAGTTAGTTCGGAGGCGTTGTGTTGTCTGCTTATTGCCTTTCAAAGTGGTGCACCAATCAACGTGCACCATGCAACAACACGGCCCAATCATGGTATTGCCAATGTGTTTTAGATTCGTGTTCAGTCGCAGTGGGAGTTTTCTTGATGCGCAGAGCTCATTGCACGCATGCATGCTCCGCGTCTGTGCTTTGCTCTGAACTCTCATTCGTATCTCAAGCGATTTGCTGCGAAATCCTTCAGCTTGGGGCGCCATGAAGCTGCTGGCGCCGTCCTCAGCGAGCCGCGAGCTGTTGAGTCACGGTCGCTCGTGGTCACTGGTCAGATCGGTCGTACCCAGGGAAACAGAAAAAGCAAGAAGAAAAAGCTGAGCCTCAAGCACCCTGGACCGGATCTTGTAGCATGTGCGCCACCAAACAGCCTGACCCAGGTACAACATTCAGAAGCGCATTCGAGAGCACAAGAGGCGGGTCAAGAAGGAGGCCAAAAAGCTGGGGCTCAAGAAGCGCGTGAGAAAGGATCCCGGCAGCCTGGCAGATTAGCTGCCCTTATGCAAGCAATGGACTTGAAATTCGGTAGTCAGCCAAGGGATTCCCAACAGCCTGCCATGGAAGGCGCCGTTTCGCTTTGCCCATGGCGTGTTGGCATATCGTGGGCCTCTCGTGTTCGTCTTGTTGGTTTTGATTGGGTCACGCATTTAGACATCCTCGATGCTGGCTGGAGGGCGAGCTGCTGGCGGACATCGAAGCGAAGAAAGCAAAGCGGGAGGAAGCACTGACCCAGAAGAAGCAAGAGGCGAGAAGCCAGGGATGGACTCCACAAGTACTTCTTATCTTTTAACCAAATAATTGTGTACATAGCAATTGCTTTTGCTGTCAGTTGCCAGGCGCGAGATCGAGTGAAGCAGGAGCGCCAGCAGAAGTTGAAGCAGCAGGAGGAGTGCATCGCATGTTAGCCTTTGAATCTTGCCGTGGACTCGCTCACGAGTATTCCCTTGGGCTAGGAGATGTCTAAAGCAAAAGAGACGGAACGCCGTCAGAAGCGCGAGACGGAACGCCGTCAGAAGGGAGCTCCACTGGATGTGGTGCGGCATCTGCTGGACCACGTGGGCGCCCAGGCCCTGATGCGTCACTATCGGCTGCCGGGCTTCGAGGGCGCCGAAGGCTTCGTGCAGGCGCGGTGCTTGGTGCAGCACTGCGCTCTGAGGGAAATTCGTGGCAGGCTTGGGCCAAGACCTGCAACATCAAAACGAAGAAGGGCAAGATGCCAGGCAGTGAGCTGGATGGGTTTGCTTGTCCTTGAGGCTTGAGGGGTGTGGCAGTACGGCGCCTACAGGGAATGAGGCATGAAAGTGCGTTTACACGGGAAAACAAAAAAAACATGAAACATCTTTGGACGGGTGAGAATAGCAGTGCCTGCTTACAGCCGTTTGCTGGACATGCGTGGCAAGCAGGCAAGGAGAACCTAGAGTGAGTCGCCTGCAACCACCATACCAACTATACAGGATGGGACCGCGTTGTCATTGCAGGCGTGGAATCTGCTGCTCAGCTGTTCTTACTGCAGCTAGCGGCCACTCCTCCCGCCCAGCTCGAGGGCGACCAACGGCAGCAGCTGGAAGCGGCAACTTGCCACGGGGGGCTAGGACTTTCCTTGTGGGAGTTCGCTTCAGCGCCTGCAAGAAAAACGGAACCAAGACGGTTGATAGTGTCAGGATTTGTTTCTATTTTTGAGGTGATGAAGGCTCAGTTGGAGCTCCTTCGTTCACGAGATGCTCCTGCAGTTCGCGGCCTCCTGAAGGAGCTGGTGGAAAACTTTAAGACTTTGACTGCATCTAGCATCATCAAGCTGCCTTTCGTTGCACGTTGCAATGCAAGTCCATGTGCTTTTTGCGCAGACTTTGCCTCGTAGCTGCCAGGACCTCATGGAGGGTGCAGACGAAGATAATGATGATGATGAATCGGACGACGGCCGGCTCAGACAGTTGAGGGAGGTCATGAACTCCTTTTAGAAAACAGATGGTACAAGCTGTATGTGACCTGCCCTGCAGGCTTTGAAGAAGGAGAGGAGGAAGAACTGGAGGGAGAAGAGGAGGAAGAGGAGGAAGATGATGATATGCAGGATTGATCTTGCGGCCTAGGAGCGTGGCAGGCAAGCAGCGGTGAATTCCTCGTGCATCCCACTTCTGCAAAGGCAGAGGGGCACGCGGCACTTTACAGATGAGAATTAAAATTGGATTATGGCTGCATACTTGTTGACGGTTGTTTCCTTTGGTGTGCCCGAAGCCGTGCCAGTTTCACCAGGCGGTGTCTAAGCCTCGAATTCCCACTTGTGGCAACAAGCCTGCGTTTAGGGCACCAGTTTAGTCTGCCTTGCGCCAACGCAGCAACGCCACGCGCATCAACGTGGGATTTGAGCGTGCGGAGAAGCAGACGCGAATGTTTGGCTGGGCTGACGGGTGTCTTGCTTGGAAGGAGTGCGTGCACGCGTCGATGGCTGGCAGGTAGTGGCAAAGGTGCGATTGGTGCTCCAGCTAGCTGGGGGGCCCAGCGCCCCTCAAGCTCGCCGTTCGTGCCAAGAGCATGCAGGTTAGAATTGCCGAATTTGAAGCCAAGCAAGTTGATGCGTGCTGGACAGTTTGGTCTTCCACCTGTCCTGCAAAGGTTCTAAGAGTGGAGCGGCTTGGATCTGAGAGTCTCAGGTCGCTGCAACTGTCCGCGCTGCTCTTGCACTCTCGTCCTCCGAGCATGGCTGCCCTTCCAGGTGTCCAAAGTGCGTCCTCAACGCGCAGGAAAGGGCTGGCCGCCTAGACTTGAAGCCTTGAGGGGCTTAAAGGCTTGAGCTGATTCTTGGCAGGCCTGCAAATCAATGTTTCCTTGGAAGCTTGCCGCATTTGAAGCCATACTGCTCTTCAGCAGCGCGAGCCCGCCATTTCCAGCGCTTGGCCACAACAACTTCCCGCAGGGCGCGGCACGGAAGGTCCAGCATCTGAAGCCACACAGCCACCGGCTGACTTCCCGCCACGAAGCGCAAGCTGCTTGTGAACATTACACCAGCCATGGCACGAACGGTCGGGCGATGGCCAACCGTGCTGAGACTGGGTAGCTCGGCAACATGGGAATCTTTGGCGAGTGCTGTGGTTAGTTGGGGTAAGCAGGATAGCCTGCGCAGTCGCAAGTCCCCATGTGCGGCTGAGCGGGTTCAGTGGGCATGCTTCGAGGAGTGGCTCTCTTCATTTCTTGCCTAGTCAGCTTGGATTTCTGCGGTTCTGCAGGCAAGGGCAGCGGTTCTAAGACGGGTTAGTCGCACGCTGCGAGTTGTCATCCAGAACGTGCTTGTGTCTGGTGCAAGGACGCCGGCCAACGTGGCAGACACTCCTGGCCCGTTCAAACGACAATGGAGGCAGCGTCATTGCTGTTGTTTTTGTCGAGAATGAGTGAAATGCACAAGGCGCCAGGTGCGTGGCAGTTGAAAAAGTCAAATTCAACTGAATGCAACGGCAAGACTGCTAGCATAGCTGGGCAGGCAAAGAGCAACTCGTTTTTCTTGCCGAAGAGGCACGGTCGCGCTGTGCTAAGTGTGGCGCCCGCAGTGCTGGGAGTGAATCAGGACTATCTTCTCCTTTTTCGCACTGAGCTGGAGGAACATGCCAGGCGAGCAATTTTTCGCCGAACCAGGTGGCTTGCCCAAGTATTTGATCATTGTACTCTGCTTTTGCTTTTGTGTTTTGACTTGTGCGGACACATGCTGCATGCTTAGGCGCTTCCTGCCTTTCAAAGACTGTGTGAAATGGGTCCAAGCGATGGGCCTTTGGGACAGTCAGGCGGAGTGGGAAGAGCCACTCGGCAAGCACCTGCTAGATGCCAACCTTGAGCTATGCATTGAATCACCATGAGGTGGGTGGCAATGGGCGAGAAACGGAACCCGTACATTCCAAGTCGCCCCGACGAGTACTACGGCCTTTTGGCTGCATTTCTGTTGCAGCACAATTTGCGGAACGGTTCTTCTCAGTGCATGGTTTTGGCGGATTGCAAGTTTATTCAGGCTTCCTGGAACTTTAGAGCCTTCGCCTCTTTCCGCCAACTTCCGAAGCAGCTGCCGGCATGCACAATACATGCATGCATGTCAAATGCAAGGATTTGTTTATGCTTGCGTGTGTATGTGTGTAATGCAATGTAACCTACTGCAATGAAATGTCAATGCCCTGTGCTACAATATTTACGTGACTTACGTGTTTGTACGTATGTAGTGCAATGTACTGATGGACATGTAATATTGCGCAATGCAAAGTAATGCAATACGTCTATGTTTGTAATGAGATGTAATGTAGCGTGTTGCAGTGTACTGCAATGGAATGTATTGTTGTGGAGCTTAGTTGTATCGTAATGTGGTATAATGTATAGAGGTAATGTGATGACATGTGATACAATGTAGTTACTGTAATGTGCTGTACTGTGCTGTACTGTGCTGTACTGTGCTGTCATGTGCTGTAATGTGCTGTAATGTAATACAA